GAGAAATGTGTTGTTACTTCCCTGGAAACACAGATTCACGACTCAGGACCCTTTGATCACAGCAATAGGACGTTTCCCCTCTGTGTTTCCAGATGCATCCATTTATAAAAACGTTTCTCCGTTTTAGAGGGAGGAGGCCAGATGAGTGGATTTTAAAGTTATCTGCTTTGAAAAATGATGGGAATGCAACTCGTAATTTATTTTGATCTCAAACTCTCATGTGTTGTCTGAACCCCACATATGCTAACGATTAGCTTTTGACAATAAGCTATCTTGCATATTCTAACCATCAGAAGCCTGTATGAACGATGACTGAATTTTTTTTCCCTCTTTCTCTCTCTGTGAATACAAAGAGGCTCTGACGACCAAGACGAGGCCTTGATCAGTGCGGCGTTCCCCAGACGCTCAGATCGTCAGCTCGCGAGCGTAGCCTCGCTCGCCATTCATTATTAATCACAGAACTTCACTGGGGTCCTCCTCTAACAGTGTGGGTTGAAGTGGGATAAATTATGCAATTGTCTGCGTATCACACAGCAGGTGGTGCATCAGGTGCTGCTACGGAGCACAAACACCGCATGAGGGTTCTGCTTCGTACTGTCACTGCGGAGAAGGGCTTAGCAGCTGCGGCGGCAAGTGCCGCCGTTCTCTGGAGGCCGGCGTAAATAATTCTGATTGTAGGGGAGTATTTGGAACGCCTTCGTCCATCAAGTTATTTGTCTGTGTCCTCGTTTGCCGTTAAAGTACTTTGTTGGACGCAGAACCTTGCTACCGCCATTCCCTCCTCAATTACAGGTCTTGGTTCCATCTCGATCTCCAGTATTTAAGCAACGCGTCAAAACTGGCCTTTCCCTAACACCTCTTCAGCCGCACGAAACCTCTCCCTGCCGCCCAAGTAATCACCACGTCCCGCTATTAACCTCCGGTCAGCGCCACGGGATCGGGCGGGAGGTTAAGCAGCACTAAGCGAGGGCAGCAGACGCATCATTTATTCATTTATCATCACTGACCATCAATCTTCTCATTCCCAAGGCCTGCTTCTGTTGTGCTTGCTGACCTGATGATTACAAAACCGTAGCGTCACTTTAAATAGAAATTAAGCAGGAACTAATCAGAGTAACATTGTGGGCTGCGACGGCAGGTCAATATAATCTCAGTTCGGGAATCCAAAGAGACAGAGACAGAGACAGAGAGAGAGAGAGAGAGAGAGAGAGAGAGATAACGCACACAGTCGGGCTTATTTTTGTCTTTGATGTTTCCAGCAGAAACCCAAGCTCTTCACAGCCTTTCTGGGCTTCAAGTGAACACACTAAAAAAAAAAAGAAAAGAGAAATCTATGGAGAAAAGAAGATATCCAAATCACAGATACAGTCAAGAAATGGCTAATGCAGCCTATTTTCTCTCTCTTTTTTTCTTTCATCATCAATAGGCGTCTGGTCAAGGATAAGCAAAATATTCTTCAGGTTCATTTTTCAGAAAATGTATATTTTACAAAGGCAGTTTGTTCTTGTGAAACTTCTGTGAAGTAGTTTGTCTTTTAGATTTCGAGCCAAAGCGTCTGCAGTTCAAAATATGATTTTTCTTCTTTCGTCAAACGTCTTACGGTGACGGACATGGAGCGTGGGGAATAATGAACACTGCGTATCTCGTACCTGCTGCGCCTCTGAGCCACCAGGGGCCTATTGATTAACGACTGCACTCGCGTTCACTCGCCAGTTTATTAGACTGATCGTACAAATAGCAAGCCAGCCAATCACATGGCTGCCACTGGATGCGGTGAAGACACCTTTCTGAAAGTCCAGCATCAACAGGTGGATCATACTCTGACTCTTTTGTTGCTCGTTTCAGTCTGAGTGGTTCAGAAGCTGCAGATGTACTTGGATTTTCACAGGTTATCACCACAGTCTATAAGAAATGCCTTAAAAAAAGACAACATGTCCAGTGAGAAACGATGGGAGGAAGGCATACGAAGCCGAAATTATGAAAAGTTGGCATTAAGTCTAATAAAGAAAACTAACTTCTAACTATTGAAATGTGAAGCAAATTGGTTTCATCTCAGCAGCTGCTAGAGTTTAGATTGATGACCAGAACTACTTGATGGATGGTCAGATCAGGCTCGGGTTTCCGTGCAGATGGAGAAAAACCAAAAACCAAATATTAAATGAGAATACACAATAGTGAGTTGTGGTAACCTACTTACTATAGAGGAGTAGATGGTTCAACCTGTTGAAGAAATATGGTAAGTAAAGTGTACCAATCGCAGTGCATGGCATGTGGTGGTCAAAAAAACAGCAGTAAAATTGACCCAATTGGACCCATCAGCATCATTTGAACCCCACAGCCCACCCGAGTGTCATTGCTGACCATGACAGTGGCGAACCCGTCTTCTAATGGCTACTTTCATCAGGACAGCATCACAAACTCAAGCAATCAGCAAATGAGGCGTCTTTTCATCACCCGTGTTGCAAGAATCACAACACTTCTGAAGGCAAGAGGGAATCCAAAGTGGGTGTTTTACCGCTGAGATACTAACAAACTGCATGACGCGCTGCTACTCCCATCATCAAACGTTGCAAGATGAACTGCCGATGAACTCGATCGTCATCTCGGCTCAAAGCATTCCTTTAGCTGCGAAGCAAATTTCAAGCAGCTGTTTTGTCCCATTAAAATGAAAGCATGAACAAACGCCGAGCCGCAAGGGAGGGTGGGAGCAGGAGAGTCTGAAGCCGTCATCAGTCACTTCTTCATGGGGGCGGTCAGTCCAGCAGTTTACAGCTGGCAGGCCTCGTGTCTCCTCAGCAGAACCTGTGGTCAGGTCTGATTGAATGGCGGAGTCATTCATCCCCTGGCACAATTCATTAAACAAAATTTGCCCTGCAGCACCGAGAAAGGGCCTTTATCTTTTCCTTGTGTTTGTGATGTTTGTATTTCTCAAGTGTTTCAATGTGAGTGTGAAGGTCAGGCAGACAAATTGGTTTGCTTTGTGTATCGAGTAAGTGCTGCTTCCTCCCTGACAGTCAGACATCTGCCTGGGAACCTCCCGGCCTCTTTGATTCAGTGAGGAACTAATTGCTGTTGTCTTGTCTTTTGTTAATATCTGGACACTGTTTGTTTAAAGTTTAAATGATTCAAGACTATTTCTGACATCGGCGTCGTGGCGATGATTCCCGTGTTGCGGAAGGATGGCAAACATGTTTATTTTCTCAAAAATTGTGATTAAGTTTGTCATGAGCTGATACCAGTCACCTGCTGGTGCAAGGGTTCCCAAACATTTTGCATACCATGGAGAAGTAATAAGAAGAAGCATAAACCTTTTATTTACTATTTATTATTTACTCCATATCTGTGTAGCATAAATTTCCCCTCATAGAGTTGATTTTAAGTTTGTAGAGTTTTTTTTCTTCCAAAGCTGGTTGGTTTCTTTTTTCTTATCAGAAACTTGTCTATTTGGCTCTTGCTATGCTACACTAGCTTGAGAATCAAAGCAGCTTGATGAATTTGACTGGAAGCCAATCTTCTCCAGCTCTGAGGGCCCCCGCTAGCACCCTGTGGTGCTCCCCACTTTGGAAAGCAACCCCCACAAAGCCTGATCAGTACATTCAGATTTGCTTTTTTTTTTTTCCTGTATCCAAAAGGAAAAAAGTTTGATTTTCCGACTCATCTCTGAACGTTACAGTGGCTGCAGGCCATGCGCCGACTCAAAAAGACATCCAATTGTTGAAATGACACAAAAAATTTTACAATTTAAGTCGAGGTGCAAGTGGAATTAAAATGATGCAAACTCTGCTTTTATAAACCTCGGCAGTTCCACTACAAAAGTGCACAAAACTTTGTAAAAAAGAAAAAGAAAAAACAAACAAACACAATTTCGTAGTTATGGGGTTTCCATTAAATAAAATCGCATGTGAATATGGTAATTCATGCGATAATTAAAAAACATGCTGCTCCATCGTCATCCTACCACTTCCTGTCGTCTTCTTCGTGTTTCCCAGTCGTAACATGCAGTTGTTGATCACATAACTCATGACTTGCGAAAAACGTGTTTTACATTGCAAATTTGCAGAATTAAGCAATTTTGATACAGCCGAAAAACTCCCTCATCCCAGCTGAAATATGTTTTACCAAAAAACAAAAAAGCTTTCTGAAAGTGGGATGTTTCCATTAGGCAAATTTAGTTTTGTGATTCCAGTTGGCCCAACTAGACGGCAAATGGAAACGCTGCTCCTGTCAGTGAGGCGTGTAACGCATAACGAAACACGGTCTTCAAGACCTTGAATAGTTCATTTTCCAAGCCATTTAGTGGGATTTTGCCAACATCCACTTTCACATATTTAAACAACTTTTGGTTCCCAACATTTCAATCAGGGATCTAAAGTTCAAACATCCACCTGGTTCTTTCCTGGTTTCTCCTTTCCTGCCAGTTGTTTAATTTGGGGTCTGCTTTGTTTGTTAATTATTGTCATTTGGATGATAATAACAAACTAACAGTGGAGTTGGGTAGAGCTGGCAGCTAGCCTGGTAAAAGCTCGCCCCTGGATCTATGCCTTTGTACAGAAGGGTCTGCACACTTGGCTATTGATTGATTGATTTTAATTGCTCAATATTTGAAAATATTGAGCCAACACTAACTAAAAAAACAAAAAGCCATCTTTGACTTCCTAGTAGCCCATTGTCAATCTGCAATTCTGAAACAGCACAAAATTGCATAGGAACCCAATAGCCAGGCTAGCAAGCAGTATGTTGTCTACAAACCCAGTAAATGCACATATAGATAACAGATAAACAGAAGTATGGTGGGTCTTAGAACCAAGAGCTGCTGTGTTCATTCAGGTCTTGCCAAACAATCTTGACTGTGTCTCATGGTTAAGAGCAGAGTGTGAACCAGCAGTGAATCTTACGACTATTTGTCTATGCGTTACACAAGAGCTTTATGTTCAGCATGCGCTGTCAGTGGGCTGGCGGAGAAGTTTCACCGTGTTTTCTTTGTTGTTTTCAATCTGCAGATCTCCCGCTGCAGACCGAACAAGCGTCTCGACTCCAGCAGGGCTCCAGCTGTCCTCGGCCTGCCTGTGGTCTGAGGGGACTCGCATCAAAGGTACAGCGCGCTTTTCTCTCTCTGCACCCCGAGCCTCCTTTAATCACATTGTTCAGTTCATCGCCGAGGTAATTACAGTTCCTTTTTTTCTTCTTCTTCTTCTTCTTTTTCTTCTCCGTTGTTCTTAAATTTCTTTGCCTTGCCAGTTCAAGACTTCTCTGTCTTTATCTCTCCATGGGAGAGCTATTCCTCACTGCTGAAGCACCTCGTAGGATTTGTCTTTTTTTTTTTTTTGTCCCTCCCAAATACATTAAAAGTTTAATTTCTTCTAGGGAGTGCGCTCTAATTTTAATAATTCACACTTCTGAATCAGGTGAGGGGAAACTGATTTTTTTCCTCTTCTTTTCACAGATTACAGTGTGTTTTAGAGCAGAGCGGCAGAGGGCATTTGTTCTGGTCCGGCATATCTAAAGACAGACTCGGCTGCTTAATTGAACGTTTGAAGTCTGTCACCTGTAGTTAGCTGCAACTTGAGAAACTTAATTGCAATTCAGAATTTTTTCTGCGCCGCAGAGACACTTGTTCCTTTTTCCCTTTTTCTTTCTTTTTTTTTTTTTTGCACAACTCTGCCTTGGAAGTTCGTTTTGCAAGAAGTTAGACTGGCATGAGCAGTAGCTAAAACACTGACTAATGTGGTTTCATCGCTTTTGCTGTGCACATAATGACTTCCTTGTGGCTTCACTTATTTGCCTCCACTTAGAAACTGCCATTTTCTCTAAATTACATGTACACTTCCCTGAGTCCTGGCCCACTTATACCTCCTTCTGTAATGCGTTTGAATTCATTAGCAGTATTAACATTTGGAACAGAAGGAATAAAACATCTGAAACCGATAGCTTCCTTTTGACCTATATGTATTTAATGACTGCAGTCTCCCTTTTAAGAAAAGCAAAGACATAAATCTGCATTTAGAAGTATCTTTGGATGCCTTTGCACATGTTCTCCATGTTGAAATCCCAAACTCAATGAGACGATTCAAACAAAACGGATTAAATGAAATATGAACGTTAAGCAGCACCTGAATTTCCATTTTCTCCAGTTATGAACATCACGAGTCATAGAACCTCTTGGATTGAGTATGAAGCAGGGATGAGTAGAGACTATTCACATCTAGTAGTTATCCTGAGTTGAACTAGGCCGACTCACAGGGCGACAGTAGCTGCGTTACCATTACAAATGTGTGCAAAACTTTGTCAATTTTCCGATAGTGTCGGAAAGTTAACAATTTTGCAAGTGCAGTGTTTCTATTCGACAAGAAATGCAATTAAAATCACACAGGAATAAGATTGTTCATGCGATGTCATTAAAAGTCATTGTCCTCTACTTCCTGTCGTCTTCTTCTTCGTGTTTTCTGCTAGTGGCAACATCCAATAATGTGATGGATGTGAAAAATGATTACAGTTTTGCAATCATAAATAATTTTTAATGCAGCAAAAGAAAACAAACAAAAAAAAAAAAAACAATGGGTATATAAATGTCCAAATGTGGATCCTCCATTTGTGATTTATTAGCTATACTCTCCCTTCCCTGTTTTCCAGCGGACGATCTTGGGTGTCGTAGCTGGATTTATAGCGAGATAGAAAACTGGGTTTGGTTGACAAGGCAGCTGGTTCCAGGGAATCATTAGAAATGCAAGCAACGCTTTTCAAACTCTTGTAAAAAACTGTTTTTAGAAATTTAGAAAGTTGTTTTCTTGCTTTCACATCACTATGACGCACAAGTAGGTTGGTTTGTCACATATTGTTGTGTTGTCAGCAAGACTATTACAGTAAACTGAAACTATCAAAATAATGAAAAATGAACTTTTAACTCATTAACAGGAAAACGCTATTACTAATGGGAAGTATATTGTGTGTTTATACAGGAATTAGAGAAAACATATCCTTTGTTTTTGTGTGTGGTGATCTACTGATTAGCCTTTCAAACTGATGTGAAATCATTTTTTTCCTCCACACAAAGCAGTTTCACGTCAACCGTCGGAAAATCACGGCACTCAAAGCTCTTGGCAGCACTTACGGTACGCCACAAAATGGCTGCAGCAAAACTTGGGAGAAAACACCAGTCAGCCGTTTGTAAAACAATAATTGAATTGATGTATATGTAATCGCAATACAACACTTTGCCCTTTTTGAATCTAAATATGAAGCAAACCGTGACAGAACTAAAAACTACTGCTGTTGCTAATGGAAACTAATCTAAAACTAAATATTTGACTCATAAAAACCAGCAAACGCACTCAAAGCTATTTGAAACTCACTGAATCGCACCAACAAAAAGTCAACGAAATAAAACTACAGTGAACAATCCAAAATGCCTGCATGTTTCAAATATCGAGGGATGTGAATACTGTGCAGATGTTTAACATAAGCAAATAGTCCTTTCAGTTCAACCTGCCCACACAAGTAAAACCCACATTACTCTCATCAAAACATAACCTTTACCTGCACTTTCTCATTCATAAACTCATCTCTTTTGGAGATTTCTCATAGATCATGGATGGACGCAGCAGCTAGGATTTATATCTAGATTTTTCACCAAACCCTTTTCCAGTGTCTTGTGGTCTCCTTTTCATTTCTTTCTTTATTTTCATTTATTTATTTATTTATTTATTTATTTATTTTTACTGCTAGGTTATTTTTAGAGCCGAGCATTTATGCTGACATGTGTTTATTGCTCAGGAAAAAAAAAAAAAGTCTTTTAACACATGAATTATGAGTCCCTCCCACCCTCCTCTTTTTAATTAGAGATGCTTTAGCAATGAGGTGCTGAAATCCAACCCGTGTGTTACTGTGGAATTAATAAATCATTTTTCACCTTGCTCTTAATTATCCCCTCTTTTTCTGAAGGAACTTCTTATTCTTTAGGATAGTTTTGGTTTGGGAGGTTAGCTCTGATTTTTAGTTTAAAAAAAAAAAAAAAGGTTTATTTCTTCTCCATCGCTTGAAGTCGATACTGACTGGAGCATGTGGAACCGAGAAGGGGGCTAAATGTGCAGACAGCCTTGGCTTTGTTTTTATCCCCTTTGACCGAGGCTCTTGGCAAACATCTGTTGAGTCGAGGCTTTAAAAATAAAATAAAGAATAAAAATAAAAAAAGCAGCGTGGGTGGAGGGGGAATCTTCAGATACTCCTCCTCTTGCATTCCAGGCTATTATAAGCAGGGCCAGGAGGTGGTGTTTAATGATAAGCTGCGGGGCGTAGCTGACATGCTTGTCATATTATCCCCCCCAATGACTCAGGAAGCTATGGCTCTGTCGCCCCTTGGACCCGGAGGGGTGTGAATCATCGGAGCCCGTGTTCGAGTGCGTCCAATCAGCCTCGCTTCTGGAAACTCCACTGATGTCACTTATCTCAAGTGGCGGATGACTTACAATACAGACAAGCGGCCTATTCTTATACGCTCCGAGATACCAGCTGGCTGCCGCAAATACACACCGACCCGGAATGTTTCGTGAGATCGACCAGAAAAAACAGAACAGGGGGAGAAAAAAAAAAAGAAAGAAAAGAGCAGTCATCTTTCACATTCAGATGGATGTCTGAGTTTAACTTTCGGAGCACAGTCTCCTTGGCACACACCACTCTGAATGGAAGAGGCAGAATGGATAAATAAATGATAAGCATGCAACAAACATCAAAGAGGGATTGTGCGCTTCAAAGGGAATAAGGGCTTTGTGCTCAGCAGGTCCCATAGTAAAGAATGACTACTTTTCATGTGCACATAGTCTCAGGCGGACACGTCGTGGACCCCGGTTCCAGTCCAGCCTGTTTAAAATTCAAACCGTTCCGCCCATGTTGACGCTTCCCAGCCGAGCGGAGACATCCGTCCACTGTCTTTGTCTCGATGACATGGTCAGTGTGCTCTGATACGATGTGCCTCGCCACGTGACGTCGTCTTCATAGATTGAGATTTTTACGCCGGACCTGTTGTAAAGGGGTTCTAGAGGTTGTGTTCTGTTTAATTCTAAAAATCCCATCTGTTCTAATATTAATACGATAAAAACCGAGGGGAAGGTGGAGCTGGGTGATAAGGTTTTATTTTTGTTGTCATTTTAAGTTTGTTGATCTTAAGTGGGGTGCAGTGGCCTTTATTCAAGAATTTGGTGTTAACAAAAGGATTGAGAACCTTTTGTTGATCACTTGCAGCAGTGAAAACCTTAGATACAAAGAGATGGACGAATTTGTTAAAAGTCGCTTAATAAATCTTTCATAGCATTATCATAATACAAAAAAAACGTATCTAACCTTTACTTTTCATAAATGTTTATAAAATCACTTATGGCACAATTATTTATATACTGTCTAAAATTATAAAAATGGGTCGGGCAATTATTGGCACTTTGTCATATGCCTAGTGTGATATGTGTATATCTTGGCATCAGTAAGCAGATGGAAACTAGCTTTGGATGATCTGGTATAATAACAAATATTTTGTATTTGTTCATCAATATGCCCTGCTGAGGAAGTGAGTAATTTCTCTTAAAATAGCCCTGAGGGGGCTTTTGTAAAAATCGAGGACTGAAACAAATTAGTTCTTGATGTAATGCCAATGTTTACCCCCTGGAGAAACTCTGACAAATTTTAGAAAGTTGAGAATTAATCCTAAAATTCTTCAGTAACATTTATCATAAACAAAGGATTGTTGAGGGCATCACTGATAGTGCTAAATATTGGATTTCTGTAAACTTTTTCTATAAAATGTAAACTTATTTACACATACCAAATTGGTCTAATCTTTATAACTTACTTTTGTCTTTTCTTTGCTTTTTACTTCTCTTTGCTCAAATAATCAGACACTTGTTCTTTTCACGTTAACTTGCGACTTGTTGAAATAGAAAGTTGGAGACATGCTGTCTGATTATTTTCATTCCAGATATTTTTTTCTTGCCTTTTCTCTTTTCTCTCTGTTCTTCTCATTCCCCTCCTTCAGCTCTGCCTTCCTGGTTTTGGTTCATCACTGTGGTCCATTAAAACTGAGGTGACTGACTGTTTTCTAACACCTGCTTATCTCCTTGGTCCATACTGTTGTGGATTTGTATTTCCAGCCTGCTTTGTTGCCGTGCTGTCAGCCTCCTGATATCATGCCTCCATCAGTAATGGATATCAGTGTGTGTGTGTGTGTGTGTGTGTGTGTGTGTGTGTGTGTGTGTGTGTGTGTGTGTGTGTGTGTGTGTGTGTGTGTGTGTGTGTGTGTGTGTGATTCTAAATGATGGCTGCGGAAAACTTGCATATGTTGAACGTTTGGCCTGCAACTGTGCTTGCGTGTCGGAAAGCGGCGCAATGGCTGCGTGCATGACTGTAACCAATGAGAGCGCCACTCTTCCACGCTGGCTGTTATTGATCATTTGGAGCTCTGACATCATTCCTTTCACCCCTCTTTGCAGCCCAAAAACAAGAATCCTTGCTTTTCCTGAGTGTGTAATGTGCCGTTTCATTTCATTTTGTGTCTGAATTCCATCAGGAGAAAGAGTGTCGTGGTGACGTGATGGGCTAAAGCTTCTGATGCACAATATCAGCCCCCAGCTGAGCATCCTCATTCATGACTTTGCCTGGAGTTGAGGCTTTCATGCAGTTCTCCATGGAGAAAAGGATTTAATTATGTGCCCTCAAGTAGACAAATAAATTTGTGGATAAAAGGTGCCATGACCCCAAACCTTTAGGTTATTTTCGAATCTGATAGTCCGGTAGAGTCGGTTCGATTGGGGACCAAAATTGCATCATTTATTACATTTCAGCTGGTGCAGTTCGCTTTCACATTACACATCAAATCCTTTGAAGAACTTGTTCAGCCCATCACCTGTGGTGACACTGCACTAAGGACTACTGAAAGAAATGCCACATCAACCTCTGAGGAAGACACTGAGAACAACTTCCTCGTTCACAAAATGTAAACTAAAACGAAGTAGTGTCATATTTTAGCAGTTGCAGGATTTCTCTTTTGTCTTCGCTAAAAGACCACGAGCCATTTCTCTTGCTAACGCTAGGCACAAGCGTTTGTTTTGGTTTTATTTAACCAGAATGTCCTGTGGTTGTGGAGCGGTCTCTTGTTCGCTTGGCATTCACATATGCATTCAAACCGCACCAGAGTTACCCTAACAGAAATGTAGGTTTTTAGCCAAACCAGATTTCACTTTTCTGATCTGCATTCAGAGTTCAATTGCGCATTCACTCGTCCCCAAATGAACCAGACTTTCTAGACAAATTAACTAGAGTTCAATGAAAGTGGACTAAACCAGGCTGGTGCACCCTGAGTCTTCCAGTCAACTATATCTTTCTATCATGCTGGAATTTTGTTCAGAACACTCTTTGCTAAATCCTGAATCATCATTGGCTTCTCCTGGTTTGTGATTAACTCTCATATTTAACATTGTGATGTTCAACCTCATGCCACTCGGCTGGGTCTGGGTGTTTTGTAATGACCTGGTACCCCTCCCTCCCTCTATCTCTTCCCCCTCTGCCTGTAATGGAAGCCTCCATCAACTCTGCACATGGAGGACTATGACGTTCGCTCTGCCGCCAGCATCCTGGCCTCGGTGAAGGAGCAGGAGGAGCGTTTTGAGCAGCTAACCCGAGCCCTAGAGGAGGAGCGCCGCAACGTCACCCTGCAGCTCGAGCGGGCCAATCTGCCACCCAACCCCGCCATCAGTCAGCCACTGGCATGGCAGCAAGTGGTGATGCAGGTAAACGATGCCAACATGGTGGCCGACGCTCCCCCACCCCCGGTGCCGCCCCCGGTGCCTCCCGCGGCGCCGTTTGACCCGTTCAAACCAGCGTTTTGTGCTCATTCGCCGCACCTCCTCCCTTCTTCCATCTGAGCAAGCTCATCTCCTCTCCCTATTTGCTCATGGTCATCACTTTTTCATGATTGCAGGGATTCTGTAATCTCTGTTTAATTTCCCAGTGATTTGGGACACTTGTTCCCATTGTCTGAACCCGCTGTCCTGGATGTTGTACAATAATCTCCTCTGTGGTGACTCATCTTTAAAAAGGGAGCTGATGAGATTCAACCTTTCATTTTGTCTCCCTTCACCTCCCCAATCTTCGCCACCTCGCGCCCTCCCGTCTTATCTTCTTTCGCCCACCGGTCTCAAAAGCTGCCTGGTGGTGCTCTGCAGTGGATGTGGCCTTTTTTTTTTTGACAGCTGAAAACGTCTTTCGGGCATTATGAGTCGAACCAAGGCTTGTACCCTCCTTTCAGTCTGCCCCGGGGCAGTTGTGTCTTCAATGCAGCTTACCACTATCAAGATGTGAATGTGTGAATAATTACATGCAATGAAAAGTGCTTTGGAGTCCTTGGGCTTGCTTAATGCGCCATACAAATTAAGGCCAATTACCATTTAGAGATCTAACTGAACCTTTAACTGAACAGAAATCGCTTAAAGCAATCCCTCCTAACAACCTAAACTCAAACATTGCTAGTTTTTTTTCTCCCTTTTGAAGAACTTACCAACTATATATGGATTTCTTGAAAGAAACCCATATAATGTTGGCTTTACATTGGTGGTCATGCAGACGCTCTCTCCATCAGTTCGGCAATGTTTTGGCTTTTTAATGAGAAGAGAACTTCTCGTGTATGATTTCTATACGGTTGTGTTCCAGTGCCCTTCACAATTATACTAATTATATAATCCTTCTCTTACTTGCGAAGGTCTGACTACTCTACCAACCTTTATCCTTCACTGAATGACTAACTGACACATTTTAACCCAAAAGTCTCAGGAGACGCAATGGTTCTATGTTCAGTGAGCAAAGATAAATACTAAGGCAGATTTAAGGTAGGTTTCTAAAGCTCAGTAATGATGTCATCAGTTTTCAAATTTATAAATGCTATTGTGACCTCCATAGATAATTTTACTATATATTTTAAACAAAATATAAGATGCGAACAAGAACTAGTTCATGTTGGAGCAATGAACTTTGTTCAGAATGTTCAGTGGATGAGCCATGAACACAAATTGATTAATATCAACTTAAGTAAAGTTGATATTAAGAACTTGTTAGGATCTTACTGGGACATTGTGATCAGTGAGTGTCAGGGCCAGAGGTCAAGGCCAGTTCTTCTGAGACAGAGGCCAAGACTGGACCTACCAAGACCAAAGTTAAATGTTTATAGTTCAACAAATATTTCAAAACATTGTGTTTCGATTGTACACTACAAAATGCAAAACTTAATTCCAAAACGATTAATTACTCAAGCAAAATTGCTTCTTTTTATTAGACTAATAACTCTCATATTGATCTAATATTCAAGCATTCAGATGCAGCCACACTAAACGCTGAATTCATCAGCTTACATTTCATAATGGTTGTATGACGCAGAAAAAAATACAAACAATGAGAGCAATAAAGATGTCAGATCAAGGCATGGAGTCAAAGTCAGTTCTTCTGATATCAAGACCAGGAAAAAGCCCTCCACCACCCCTGGTTAGTTTATCATCATTTCCCATGTTGGCCATCTTTGAATGTTGGGATTCCCTGCAACGTAACAAAACAGACGTGGTATACTGACAAACATCTCTGAGCCCTCACCGCTTGTAAATTAGGACGCCAACTTGTGTAATTGGCACCGCTGATGAAACTCATTTTTACTTCCGACTGAAATGTCTCCATCAGAAATGAATTTTGGTGTCAAGGCAGGCGAGCCGGGGGCGGGGGGTCTAGGAGGCGATACGTGCCGTGAGAACCCGTTCCACTCGACACACGCACGAGCGGATAAAAATGCATCAGGTTGTTCCCTCCGACTCTGCCTTCTCGTCGCTGAGCTTTCACCGCTCACTCTCACACAATCCTGAGGCGGAATGATGGATTAAAGCCGACTGTGGATCGCTAACTGAGGGTTTAGATTCACAACCCCAGTGCCAGACTCAATGAGGTCTGACATTACTTAAAGCCGGGGTCATGGAGGAAAAGGCTGGAGTAAGTCTGATTAGTAAAATGAGATGAAAGTAGACAACTAATGAGCATGATAAGGCGCCGATCTAGATAGCACTTCTCTACAGGGCACTGAGCTCTGAAAGGACTAGGCCTAAACATTGCTGAGCAGCTAACACTTTTATCTTCCTTTATCATTATTATCAGCTCATTAACACAGGCGGCTGAGTGTGCAGCAAATAAACACGAGCCCAATTATCTTTAGCTTGTGTTAGATGGAGGCTTTCAACATATTGTTACATACTGCATTGAACACAAGACATCTTTTTCTCTTCATTCTCCTCTATTCTGGTTAGTTTCTGTTGAATCATCATACTGAACATCACTCTGATGACACAAAAGATGATATTGTGATGGCCTGACGTTGTCACAGAGTGAGCGGGAATGCATGGCATTTACATCTTTCAAAAGTATTTACACAGAGTGTTTTGGAGGGATTATGCGGCAGGTCAACACAAACTACTGTATAATTCCAATGGGAAAGGAGAGACATATCTAACAAAACATGACCGTCCACCGAAAGCTCAAAGAAGACGCTATAGAGACTCGTGATAATCTGGATTAGCCGCAGAGACGCAACAATGTGGTGACAACTGTTAGTTGTGCAGCCTGTAAAGTTGGTCGTTTTGGAATGATGGCAAGAAGAAAGCTTTTGTTTGGCTTGCAGTTTAAAAAGCCATGAGTACCTGGTAAATACGTGAGAAGATGCTTTGGTCAAATGAGATTAAAACCGAAGCTTTGGCCCAAATGTAAAAACCAGTGGAAGACTGATCTGCATCACCATGAAGCATGCTTCATGTGTCCAGTGTTCTTGGTATTAGGGACAAGAAAACTGCAGGGAATTAGAGGAAAATCTGCTGGATGTTGCAAAAGACTGAAGTCTGGGATTGAGGTTCTTCTTCCAGCGGGATAATGAGCCTAAGCATACAACCACAGCTACCACTGAATGGTTTGAATTAAAGCCTATTCATGTTAGAAAGTCCTCCATGAATCAGTTGAAAAACTGTACAGCATATAAGCTCTCCATACAATCTGACTAAGTTGAAGCTATCTTGGAAAGAAAAATGTCAAATGCCAATGAGGAAAGCAGGTAGAAAAGTAACAGAAGACTTGAAGCTGTGATTGCACTGAAATATAGTTCTGCGCAGTATTGACTCATTAGAAAAGACAGATGAACATCACAATTTGGATTTGCACACAGTTAATTGTCGTCTCTGGTTGTAACATGATGAAATGTGGAAAACTGAAGGGGCATTAACGGATTTACACAACGCTGTATTTTACAGTGCGTCAAGTGGCGATAATGTGTTGCCATCTGATGCTGAATTTGGGTTTCATTAGGGAATTAAGAGGTATTGACAATTTTTCTGTACCAAAGAGCTGGATGGATTTCTGCTCCAGTTTCTAGCAGAACGCTGATCCTCATTCACCTTGACACAGCACTTTATGAATACCCATCGAGGAGGAGAATTACTGTTTATCCTTCACCATTCAAGAAGGATCGTCAGGACAATGCTGTCGGAGAGTCCATTAGCTTGTCTGATGAAATTACTTGTGTAGACTCAGTGACATGGAACAATACGCCTTGGAATCTCAATCCATTGACGTCCCCCAACATGTGATCACTCACACACAGAGATTGCGCCCTTTTGTTGCTTAATATGACTCTGCCCCTAGTAATTGATTTTTGCCAGAAGGGGCATTGTGATCAAGGCTATGAAAGGTCAAGTGTTGACTGGTGACCGTGTTTGGACAAAAGCAGGCAGCGCTCAGAAAATCGTGTCTGTATGGCGCTAGAAGAGTGGGTGACCTCATTCCGCATGCTGGACTGCTTACCTATCCGCCTGTGGCTGCTGCCCAACACATACAAAGATACCATCTTGAGATTCATAGAAAAGAAAACGTGGGGATAATTTGTCGCTTCATGGGTGTCATAAAATGTAGATGCCTTGGTCTCTGAGGGTCTGTTTAATGGGCTGTTGGTAGAGGCACATTGTGCACTTGGTCGAATGTTATGAGGAGTTTTCAAAGGTTCTGAGCTTTACAGAGTGGGAACAGTGCAGCCTTTGATCTGTGCTGAAGATGTACAAGCCCTGGCTCTGCAATGGCAACCAGCAATTGCTCCAACCTCCCTCCTTCCCTTCACCCACTTCCATCCATACAACAACTCCCCTCCCACCACAAAGTCCTGTCTAGGAACAATGGATACAAAAGGCTGCGGGTGCTATAGCGACAGAAGATCTGTCCTTCCAATGCCAGGGCCTGGGAGCTGCTGTACCCTTGTAAATCACCTGCCTAACAATGAGCTTTAGTTTTTAGCTGACCCCCTCCCTGAGTCTCCCCTGTCTTCTCCATCAATATCATTCTTGCCTCCTATAAACCCCTTAATCACATTGTTAAGAAAACGTCCCCTTTGTTTATTGTTGTATCGCTCACTGTTCCCAAATCCCTCTAACAACACTTTCCCCTTGTTATAAAGCAGCCTGTGGAAGTCATACCAACAGTTTCTTATAGTAAAACAGGCTGTTTATTGCTTTTGGTTGTGTCCAATTATTTCTCACCATAGTTCAAACCTATTACAACGCTCAGGAAGCAGCGTTGAACAATGAAAGACTTGTGTTAGTCTGCAAAGACGGATGCACCTGAGAAAAACTAAGCTTTATTGTGGGGTGGTTTGTCTATTAATTCGTTGGTGGGCTAGTTTCTTCCCACTGCTCAATAAATTAGTGGTTCTTAAAAGCCCACTTGT